ATATAGGAAAAATAATATAAGAAACATATATAATTAAGGAAAACCCCCATACATGAGCATATAACAACAACAACAACAACATACAGGGGATTGAGGGCCAATCCCACTACCTAACATACATTCCCACACCCAGAGTAAGGTTTCTCACTCCCCCTTACCTCGATAAGCAGGAGCTGAAACTAAAACTAGATCTTATTGGTCTCCTCCTCTGGGTTCCCTTTGGTCTTCAGAGAATATAGAAGAAAAGAGGTGAAAAGTGAAAAATGTCCTTTAGAGTGCCAGAATGTTCAATTTATAGGCATCAGATGTGCCCAGAATGGCCCGTTTCAAATCCAGAACGGCCCGTTCTGGACTCATTCGCCATACAAAAATTTCATATCCAAAACGACTCATTCTCAAACCAGAACGGCCCATTCTGGGATCACATTTTAAGCCACAACGACCCTGTCTGGAACGACCCGTTCCCAAAGTGGAGCGGCCCGTTCTGAGTTCGCATATAACTCATAACTTCCTGCGTTGGAACGACCCGTTCCAACCTCGTCTTTCTAGGCCATTTTTGTAGTCTGGAACAGCCCGTTCCAATTTGAGAACGACCAGTTCCGGGCTACTAAAAATCAAAATATTTCAAAATAATTTTCATAAATATTTACTATTAAAATACCCATAATTATTAAAAACCTTTAAAACATTGTATGAAACCCATGAAAATAACTATAAGAAAATAATCTCTATAAATATAAAATAAATAATAAATAACCATTATACTAGTAAAAAATTCGGGATGTTACATGTTCCAACCATTTTATATTCATGCATTCATTTTTAAAATTATAACATTAACCATAACTTGCCTTTAAGCAGATGATGTTACAATTAATACCTAATAATATTAAGGCTAAATTTAACTTTTGGTCCTCATGTTATCCTTTTTTTGTAACCATGTTGGTACAAAATAACAACCGGCTTTATTATGACTAATTTTTACTAAGGAACTTAATTGACTAATTTTAGCATTATTTTTTCTCTTAACTAATATTTTTTTCATTTACAAGACCCAAACTTATGAGACTTTGTTTAAGAGAGCCTGGCTCGAGCCTCATTTGGACTTTTTTTTTATTAGTTCATTCTTATCCCTTTTATTTTTTATTTTTACCACTTTTGTAGGATAAAAATAAGATCAAAAGTGTAATTTAGCTTATATATTATTAAATATCATTTGTTACATTATATACTCAATGTCAATTCAAGATCAATGTTGTAACAACACAATAGATCACTACACTTACTACAGTACAACTATAACACAATGAAAAACATAAATATCTTTTAACCTAGGATTTTCATGCAAGTAGTACTGAAATATTCATGTAACACATATAAGGTGCAAAAAACATAAAATAGACCCTACTTATATCAATTGAAAACATTAAGTTCCACATGGGCTTACAATACTCCTTGTACACACACACATAGAGGATCGATCCACTTACTTCAAAAGTAAGTATTAACTCATGTCCTATATCAAATTTCAACGATTCAACAGTTGAATTAAAAATTCTTAATTCATAGATCAATTTGTAAATTTTTAAAAAATTTGAAAACTATTTTATACTTTATTTCATAAATTTAGATTAATGTATAAAATACTTTTATAATTATTCATCAATTTGAAATAATAAAACGACGTATCAAATAATTTTCAAATTTAAAAAAAAAAAACTTTCAAACTTAATTTATACATTAAGAAATTTTTAATTTAATGGTTGGATCATTAAAATTTTATGTAGAAACATGAGTTATTGAGTAAAGTAAGTATAATTAAACTTACTCTTAGAGTAAGTCGACCTCTCCTCACGCACGCGTGCACGCACACACATACACACACATATATATCAATATTAGAAAGCAATAAAATCCTAAGTGTCGGTCAAACATCTATTAGAACAACCTTCACAAAATGTCATCTTCTATATGGCCAACCAACATACTTGCCTTTCTCCCTAATCGTAATTTATTATCATACTAAGTATGATCATAACAGTTCAACTTTAAATAACAACATTCAACTTATCAACTTTATACATCGTTATGCCTTTCAACTAAAATATCTCTTATGATACAGGTGAATAGTTTAAGTGGTTTGACTTTACCGAACCAAAAATATAGAATGACATACTTTTACATCATAACAACTTTAGTTTAGATACCAATCCATAATCAATGCATGAATGATTTCTCATATGTCACCATTTAAATTAAAAAAGTCTAGTATTTTTGTTAGGGATAAATAACTTGAGTGTAGGCCTATCGCAACATTAGTATGGATCAACCATGACTATATGGAATTAACTCATCGACTACCTTCTAAATATTGTGCATCTTTCCAACACTCAATTAGGGATTTGGTCTCCGACCTCCTGCCTTACTTTATTGGTCACTTCATAAGCAATATGGCTCGACTTGACCCCATATTATACCAATTTAGAAACTAGAGGAGACAACCTTTGAAAACAACTTTCCACTTCAGGAGATAATTTACTCATTGAAGAGTTTTCAATGTCGGGCTCAAAGAGTATCATAACTTATATTTACACAATGAAATATAAGTCACTCATAAAACCATTTTCTCTTTGGACAATGCTTCTATCGTTGGGAAAAAAAATGTGATTCTGGGCAATTATTCATCAACTATGCGCATGTGTTGGGCGAGAGCCAAAGTTCCACCATAAAACTTGCTATCTCACTACAAATCTAGCCAACACACTTCATGATCTGTGGAGAAAAAAGAGATACTAGAAGGGGGATTGAATAATGCCAATAAAAAACTTACTTTTTGAAACAACGAAGTTGTATTGTTATAGCAAGGAGTGTAGACGATGATATAAGAGTATGAACACAAGGTATTTTTATATTGGTTCGTCTCAATCATTGGGACTACATTTAGATCTTAATCTAACCAAATCAAGTTTCATTATCTTATACAAAGATACAATTATTCTTTTCTCAAGTCACTTTTGGTTCAAACCTAAGTGTTCTTTAACATGCCTCTTCAAGCAACTAACCAAGTATTCGTTAATACAAAACCTTTCTAAGCTTCAACATCCTAGTATTCTTTTACAAATAAGTTTCTCTAAGCTCAAAACAATAATACCAAGTTATAATTGGGTAAGATAACAATATTGTTTCATCTTATTTTTAAGACATGATACAACCAATATAATACAGAGTTGATTTACAAAAATAATGAATATGGATATGTTTAATAAAAAACTGAAACTCTCATTTTCTGAAACGTCATGCTTCTTATATAAGTGCTTTGACGAAGATGATCATTGCAAATCCTTGAGCATCTCTCACAGACTTATTTCATCTGTCTTCATCTTTGTTTCTTGTGGAAAGAAGTGTTCGTTGGTGCATTAAATGTTTGCCTTAAATGCATTTCACCAAATTGTTACTTTTTATTTGATAAAGGAAGCTACTTATCACCTTTTAGGCACCAAACAGGTGGAACCATGCATGTGCTAGGTTAGAGCAATTCTAAACAACTTTATTTGGCGTTTTCCATGATTAAGGGAATTTATTTGTCTTTTTCTGACACAAAACATATCTTTGTGAGTACCAGTGAAACTTTTTTATTTGATTTGTTAAGGAATCATAAAAACACAAACGATTCTATTATTAGACACCATAAATGATATGAAACTAAAACAAGTGTCTTTTAGATTAAGTACTTTGTCTAGCTAGATAACTTAATCATCTTAGTTTCTTATCTGTCTGTGTATTATCCGCAAAACTTTTCTCTATAAAATCTTCTATGTTTGTTGACATTAGAACTTGAAATCTTAAAGGTTCTAAGATAGTCTTTTGACCTATTAATGATCTACAAATGCAACTAAAAGTTTTTCTTTTACTCACTTCATACAACTTAAGAGTTAACACAAACATAAGATGCAACCTTCATACATCATAAATAAAATGAAAACCTAACTTCTTCAATCAAAAACCTAACTTCCAACTTCAATATTATCACTTCAACTCAAATTACCACCAATGTGTAAGACAACACTAAAATCAACATAAACAAGAAATGATCATAATTACAAACTTCCCTTACCTCAATTGCTTCCAAAATCAAGGGAAAAAGGGAAGAAAGGTGAAGAATGACGAATTATGAAACCTGTTATACAAAAACTTCTTTCTACAATTATGAGCTTCTCAGTTTGCATCTCTACTCCTACTACTCAAACTAGCCTTCAAAGGGAAAAATAGGGAACTTCTTATGGAACATCTCTGACTCTAAAGTTTATCTCTATAAAACTTCTATATAGAATTTAGAGAAATGAATATATGAATTTCAAGTTTTCTAAAAACCTTATATATCTTCACTATTCTTAATTAACTTTGACCTTAACATAAAACAACTCTAAACAATTAAACTCATAAGAATTCTTTAATCATTAAAATGCTAAAACAACATGGAAACTTATCTATACAAAACAATATAAACACCCATAATGTTACAAATGTCACAATTTCAATAACTGAGCAATAAATATTTAATTATTGAACCAAAATATCAAATTTTACAATATTAAAAGATTAAACTTACAAAATTACAAATTTAGGCGACAAAACCTCAATTAGATATTATAAAAATATAAAAATGAAATTTAGAAGAAAAAAAACTTGACATTAAAATTAGAAAAATGAAAAAATTAACACGATAGATTAACATAATAGTTAGACATCTTATACTCAATTCACATATTATGAGAATGATTTATTCAAAAAAAAAAAATCTGTATTTGATCTTCATCGAACAAAAATATTCATTGAATCAACACTAATTTCATTATTTGAAAGAAAATATTTTATGATGTAATACAATGGGTGATGGCAGGACAAAAAGAAAGAAAGACGTAAAACGTATTGGGCCATCGCAGAAACGACAGATCAAAGCCCAGCTGAAGTAAAGACGAAAGAGAAGCCCAAATGTGCGACTTGCTCCCTACTCCTTCTCTTTCTTTCTTTCTCAGACAACTTATACAATATACACACTTTTGAAGCCAACTCCGTTACCCTCTGCGACCTTTCTCTCTCACTCTCAGGTCACTTCCCCTTTCAATTTTTTCTCACTCATTTCTCTTCCTTTCTTTCCTCTCAACAGATCGCGGTTTTTTTCTTTTTCAATTCGCCCATCGCACACTCTGATTTCACCTTTTTGACAAATTTATATTTTATATTTCTTTTTTACTAGGGCTGGTACGAAAACCCATGGTTCAAGTGTTTTTAGCTTCCAATAAATAGAACGATGTTTTGTGTTGTGATTGTGACTTGCTAGTGAAGTTGTGGGTGCAGGTTTTTTCTTGTGCGGTTTATCATGGGGGATAGTCAGTATTCGTTTTCTCTCACCACATTTAGGTATGGGTGTTGCTGATGGATTTCAATTTAATTTGATTTGATTTTTTTTTTTGACTAAGTGAATGGTGTGGTGTGTGGTTGAACTGATTTCGTTGTGTTGTGGAACAGCCCTTCTGGGAAGCTTGTTCAGATTGAGCATGCTTTGACGGCTGTTGGGTCTGGACAAACGTCGTTGGGAATTAAAGGTGATTGATTACTATCTTTGCTTGTTGATTGGATCTGTTTATGACCCACATCACTTTCAGGTTTTCAATTTTAAATAGATTATACATTGTGCACTTGTTTGTTGATTGGCTCAGGTTGGGGGAGCAATTGAAATTGGAATTAATGACATTTCATTATGCTAAGTTGTTGTTTGAATTGCAATTCGTTTCTGATAACCTAAATTGAAAAGGGGGGGGGGTGCTGGGATATGGGACTGAGATTTTTTCAGTTTGCGAAGATTGATTTGATATGTGTTTTGGTGCTGAAAGGCTTATGGTTCTTTATTAGGCCGTGTAAGGGGTTTTGACATGATGGGGTGGATAAGTTAAGTATGGGAAAACGGTGCTCTCTGAAATGTAGAAATTCTTGGGTTGACTAGGCTTTAGAGGAGGCTAGAATTAGAGATTTGGTAGTTTGTGTCATTGTGATTTAATATTTTGTTTTGGTATTATTTTTACATTTTGGTCATCAATTTTGTTTGCCATAATCTGTTTGCTATTGTTTGTACTATTTGCTTTCTGATTCATTGGGTTCTTGTGTCTTGTAGACGATTTGGATCCTGTAATGTAAGCTGTAGCTTTTGCTGGCTTTAATTATATATTTGATTTGATTTGATATTTGATTCTTGCAGCTGCAAAAGGAGTTGTCATTGCTACTGAGAAAAAACTGCCATCTATATTGGTTGATGAAGCATCAGTGAGTTTATTTTCTGTTTGATCCCTTTTTGTTCATTATTCATGTAAAAAATTATCAAATTGTCCCATCCAAGTTAAAAAGGTTAGGCTCAAGGTTGAACTTACGATGGTTATGTTTTTGTAAACTTATTGGAAAAATCCATAGTTGCCCTACTGTGTGTTTGTACATGGTTTTAATGAAGTCAATCACACATATCCTTGACTGACGGTCCCAATTGTAAGCTACATTGCTTCATAGTTCATCCTTGAAAAAATAAATTGAGGTTCAACACAGTTTTGTCCATTCAAATGACTCAAACCCTGACCCCACTAGACCCATCTCTGATACCCCTTGGTCCTTTGCTTTCAATCAGAAAATCTCCTTGTAAATTCCTTCTTGTGTTGCAAGGCTGGATTTCCAGGTTGGGTCACCCTATGTGTATGCTGAATAATATATAAATGCACACATATCCATGTCTATATCTTTGTTTGGATACATCTGTGTACTATACTGTTTTCTAATTTATATGACTCGTAGTTTACTTTTATTGGATATTTAATGAATTTAGTACCTCACGACAATCTGATGCTTGCTTTGTATGGAGCAATTCATTGTGTTAAACTGCCCTCTCTGGCCATTGATAATATAATCCTTTATGTAGTATTTGCAAGCCGTTTGTCAATTTAACTCATGACTCATGAAGTATTCTGTGTATTTATTCTTTGTTTTATTTGCTTGCAGGTTCAGAAAATTCAGTTACGACAATCTGATGCATGCTTTGTATGGAGCAATTCATTGTGTTAAACTGCCCTCTCTGGCCATTGATAATATAATCCTTTATGTAGTATTTGCAAGCCGTTTGTCAATTTAACTCATGACTCATGAAGTATTCTGTGTATTTATTCTTTGTTTTATTTGCTTGCAGGTTCAGAAAATTCAGTTATTAACACCAAATATAGGAGTCGTATATAGGTTTGTTTCTTTGTAAATATTTAAATCATTTTATGTTTATTATATTTCATAATGTCACTAATTCATTGTATCTTTTGCCTAATGGCATTTGATGGTTTAGCTTTGAATGTGTTCTTAAACTTGATTTTCCACTTAAGTTACCTAGACATCAAGAATTGATGTGTGCGAGGCATTAGGGATGTGGCATAACTATTTTGTGGAATTTTTTATCTTAACAACTATGAAATAGAAATTGACATGGCACACTTAAAACTGATTTTTCTTCTATGCATAAAACTGGTAGACAGCGGATGACACTCTTAAAACTGATTAAAGACATGCAAGATAGAAAATATTTATTTCAGTCAAAATGTAAGTGTGTTGTCGAGGTGAATAGCTAACTATTGCTTGTGTACTGATGTGAAAAGACGGAAGTATACTTAAAGCGCACCATGTGGTAGACTGTTAATCTGCATTGTTTCTAGATATAAATAGGTCATGGCTAGCTGCTTTAGTATTTCGTAGTGAAAGAGCTTTACTGGATTCAACCTACAAGTGACTTGACTATTGACCGTTTATCAGGTAGTACAGGGGGCGTTTGTCACTGAATGTTGACATTCCAAATCTATTTTGAAACATTTAAATGGAAGTATAGAAAACAGAAAAAAAAATACTTCCTATTATCTTTTTGTACTTTGAAAGAGATAAAGGTGTTGAAATAGCTTATTCTGATGTTTGATTTGCATTTGAAACTTCATAACCAGGTTCTTAGTGTACATTTTTCCATTTCTGTTGAGCTTTTGGTAAAAATGGGAATAATTATTTGGTCTTAGTTTGTCTAGCAAATATCTGATTTACTTGACCTAAATTTGGTCTTTGTTGTTTAGTGGCATGGGTCCCGATTTTCGAGTTTTGGTTCGAAAAAGCAGGAAACAGGCTGAGCAGTATCACCGTTTATATAAAGTATGGTAATTCAATTTGTATTCAAAATTTATTTTTTTTCGTTCTTACTACTGAGTTATTGTTCTGCATATACTTAGTTTAAATGATTCATTTATAATGTCTGCTTTACTTTGGAACTTTGATATTGTAATGAATTATATTGTCTCGAGGGCTGTTACTTGGTTACACTTCAGTAGTTATCTTCATTTTTCATGTAATGCATATCTTTTTGACTGAAAGTCATTCTAGAGTGGTTATTTCAGTACAATTCTGCGTTTGTACTTTGTAGTACAAACAGATTGATGGCGCTTAATATATTATGGTCCTTGTATCAAGTATGTTTCATTTTTTTGTATACTTTGAAATGAGAAACAAAACATATTTATAATAAAAGGATATTTTTCAGGAAAAATTTACGATTAAGATGGACAAACTACTAGAGTCAATATTATGTCCAAGCTAGTTATGATGAATGGATGTCTAGGAGGAGAACTAGAGTATAAAGTGTATATATAATTGTACCACTTGCTTCAATTTATCCATTTTAATAAGATTCATCAAAAGCTTCTAATTCATAATTAAGATGGGCAAAACCTTCCACAGTCAGTGCTACATTGAAGCTTTAATGAGCACAAATTTTGTCCTTACACTTTTTTAATACCCATTCTTCAAAGATTTTATATAGACTAGCATAGGAAATTGTGTTTACAGTGAGACCTGTTGCACAATAGTTTACTATTGAGGACCTGGATGGGCACTAGACAGTTGTGAGATAATATTCAGCATTTTCTTATGCTCAAGTGTACTATATTTTTTTTCAGAAAGTTAGATTTGTTTGTTTATTTAGATGGAGAAAGGAAGTACTTAATATCTTTGATAAAGTACTGCCTGTGAAAGTGCTAATTACCACAAAGGATTTAATGGGGTCAAATAGAAAAATCTCATTATTTCTTTCTTAAACTGAGTCTTACAACTCATGCAGTATATAATTGTTTTTTTTCTTAAGTTAACAGTTACAATTATGTATCATATATTTCCTATTACCTGGAGTTATTAATGGCACATTTTGTTTTTCCATCAGTGAATTTTGTAATTCTTGTTGTAGGATGTATTGCCTGTTAATGTTGATTGTCATATATTGATTATATTTTCCCTAGAACATTTGTTTTTCTTTTTCTCGAGAATTTTGAGTACTTCTTGGTTATTAATGGAGTTTCCTATAATTAAAAAATATTAGATTATGCTTATGCACTACTGATAATCTTTATGAATGTATTATGTATAGATGCTCCTTTTTCTTGTTCTTTCTGTTTGCTTTTGGTATTCTAGAATGGATCATTTGTGAAGTTTAGGCTATGATAATATAATGGAAATTTACAGGAACCAATCCCTGTCACTCAACTTGTCAGGGAAGTTGCTGCTGTAATGCAGGAATTTACTCAGTCTGGGTAAGTACTTCTTTTTGAACTGTCCTCTGAGTTATGTTTTGACCTCTGAAATTTTCAAAATTCTCCATTCCAATGAGCATGATTTAGACACCTTTCAATGTTGAGTGGGATTAATTGTTGCAATTAAATTCTGAGGATTGATGTGCCAAAATTTCAGTCATTATTAGCTTCTTGAAACCTGGAACATGATATAATTTTCTGGAAATAGGAAGCTTGGAAAAAGTCCAAACTTAAGTGCCTGCAATGGCCTTATCTTTCTGAAAAGAACCAGCATGAATTAATATTTATGTAGCTGTTACTATAATTGTTTCCTTTTCTCTGGAGGTTTTGTTGGATAAATTGGTAAATTTTTTATTGGTATAGAAATTCCATACATCAAATTTAGACATCTCTTTGTAGTTGACAAATCCTTAATAAGCAGCTAAATAAATGAACAAAACTTAGTTTGATCCTCTGATAATGATTATTTATGTATATCCCCGGCTTTTTACTGTCCTTTTTCCCTTTATCATTTTTTGAATTCTGACATTTGTGTTTTGGTTCTTATAGTGGTGTTAGGCCGTTTGGAGTGTCCCTGCTAGTTGCTGGGTTTGATGATAATGGGCCACAATTATATCAGGTGTGTTAATATTATTCTTCTGATGTAGCTCTTGTCATGGTAACTTTACACCCTGGTTAATGATTATCACTGACAATCCAAATATGAGATTACATGGCATTGTCTAACCCTTTATTGTGAACTCAAACTCTACGTTTAGCTGTCTCATGTACAGACTGTTCATGTAACAAGTCTAGACATCAGAACCTCACTCATTGGTGAAATAAATAAGTGCTCCTTAGATTCTCAGAAGTTATATAACCTATGAAAACATAATAATTTAATTACATAAATTCTTTGCTATATTGTTTTGCTTTGCCTGAATTATTTGTTTCAAATTGAAAATTGTTCATTGATTATGTGTGTTTAAATTCAAACGTGTTCAGAGAATTTGTTGTCTATATCACTGTGCATCTAGACATTTGTGTATTTATTCTGGGATCTTTTTTTTGTTGCATTTAAACTTGTTTAAAATTACTCTGAATTTTAAAGAAAGGGGCAATTGAAGGTTGTGAGTTTATGCAATTTGTTTTTTCTATAGGTGGATCCATCAGGTTCATATTTTTCTTGGAAAGCTTCGGCCATGGGGAAAAATGTTTCTAATGCAAAGACGTTTCTTGAGAAGAGGTAAGATTCTCATCTATAGAAATACTGTAAGCAACAACAATGTGTGGAGTGCAACAATGTTTGTGTGTTATGTGTTGTGGCCCGCACCCTTGTGAATGCTGATGAAACGTATGAAAACTGTCAATGTGAAACGTTATTATATGACAAAATGACACAATAATTAATATCTGTTAAGATACTCAAGTCACTTAAGAGAGCTTATAAATTCTTTAATTATGCTGATGGCTCAGATGGTAGCTAATGATACAGTGATGTTGTAATCTTAAGAGGTCTCAAACCATAATAGCTTAAGTGACAAATTCGTGAATGCACACTTCAGAAATTAAATTATATATTATAAGTAGATTTGTCTGCTGTGTCTATTTTAATGCATCTCTTCTTGAGAAGTTGTCAATTTTGTGGTTTGGAATTTTTTTGAAGTTAGTTGTGATTATGTTTCTTTGAGTGATTTGAGTATCATTAGTTATACACCAAATTTTCCCTATCATTTCTTTGGTTGACTTGATTGTCCATTTACAGGTACACAGATGATATGGAGGTTGATGATGCAGTCCACACAGCAATATTGACTCTGAAGGAAGGGTAGGAGCATATCATTTCAAGTTTATGCGCTAAATACAACCTTAATGAAAATGACATTGTTTAACTATTACTGTCCATTAGGAGGCCCAAAAGTTATTATCGATCGGTTTGGATAAATTTTTCTATAATTACTTTTAAGGAGAAAAAAAAAATCAGAAAAAAGAATGAAATTAGTTTTTTCGTAAGTAAAAATTAGCTTACACGAAAGTTGAAAAACATATTTAGATGAGTTAGTATGAAAGAACTTTTACAAATTATCTTGTGCATATACTAATATTGGATTTTGGAGAAACTTATTTAATTTTTTCTTATTTTCTTTCCCTCCAAGCACTTACGAAAAAATTTATTTAAACAAATCCTTTATATTAATTTTTTTTCTTCTCTTTTTAGTCAATATTTCTCCTACCATTGTAGTTTGGAGGAGGAAAATACATAAAAAATTGACTTTATTGGGTTCAAATGAGATTATCGAGGCTAATGCTATCTAGGGTATTTAATCAAATTTTATTATAGTGGTCTTGACAATTATTACCTAAGGCACTTCCCTCCAAACCATGATCACATCAGCTGGCTTTATTGTTGCAAGTTTTCAATCAAGCTTATTACATTAAAACCTGATTATCATAGGGAGTCGTAATCACTCTTAGTTTTGTTTATTGACTGTTTTTATATTTTTGTTTTTAATTCTCATCTGCTATTTCTTTTTTTTTTTTTTTTTGGAACCCTTGTGATCTCTGTTTAGTCTTTTGAAACGTGTCTCAAATGTTATTTTGTGGGTGTTTTCCAGGTTTGAGGGACAGATCTCGGGAAAAAACATTGAAATCGGCATAATTGGTCCTGATAAAAAGTTCAGGTATATCTTTATATAGCTGGTCTGCATGACTTCTCTGTTTTGCTTTTCCACCGCTCATATTTTAATTACATGAACCTTGCTTCATTCTGGTTTCTGTTATCAGTCTAACTGAGTTGTTTTTTGGGTTGTCCAATCCAAGTTAATATATTAGAAATATTTCTAAATTCCAAGTACAAGAGAAATTGCATCACAAAAATGAGACTTCCAACTTCCAAGTTGTATCTGCATCTAAACCAATCCAGACTTCAACTTCAAAATCATTCTTATATCCTTTGATTGTTTAACTGGGGGTGACTTAATATTATGTTAATCACGTTGCAGGGTATTGACCCCAGCCGAAATTGATGACTATTTGGCTGAAGTAGAATAGTCTACAACGAAGAAATCTTGTGCTCCTCAAGTTGTTATTTCACAGTTGGGTTTAATTGGTAGCTTATATACTGACTTTGTGATGGCAATAGTGAATTCGCGAGCTACTCTTTGTGACCAGCAAGCCTTCAGATAAACCTTTTTCAAAAAACAAACCTTGCGGCATTGACTTCTTAACCAATATCGCTAATTTATTTATTTTCCTTTTAGAATCTCAAGTTTCTTATCTCTGTCATTTTATATATTGCCAGGTAAGTTCAATGCATTATGATTGCACTGGGATCTCAAATTCCTTTCCTACTTCACTTTTCCTTTGCCAATGATCGTATTGAATAGACAGACCATTTTATCTTTAACTCTTTAAAACATCGAGTTAATAAGATTTTTCTAAGAATAAAATCGCCAAGATTTATCCAAGCATAAAATCTTCATCCAAAATGTCATTCACAAATTTAATTTTAATATTATGAACTGTGAAGTGATGATCATTGTATTACTGTTTAGAATTATCAGGGTCGTATCTAGGAATTTTGATGCTTTAGGCAAAAATTAAGATAGGTGCCTAGATTAATACAACCTAATAATTTTTATGTTATTTTTCTGGCTTTTTGAACTACAAAATTATTTATTAAAGTTTTATAATCAAGTAATTTTAATATTTCACTCTCAATAGATAATATAGTTAATTGATTTAATTTATCTTGTAGCATAGTTGATCTTAAATATGATTTAATCAATTTTAATTTTGAAAAATTTCTTTCAGTAGTCGCAATAGTTATAGGTAATGTTAATAATATTCTATAAGCAATGTATGTATTTGAAAAATAACATGATCTTTTTATATAGTTTAATATTTTTAATGGTGTGTTAATTTTATTTGTTAGAATTTCTTTCAATAACTTTAATTTTGAAAATAAATCAAGACCATTAATATTAGAATGATCTTCAAAACTCAATCTTTTCAAGATTGATATAATATTTTTTCAATTCATCTTTTCCTAAAGTTTTAAATTTATTTTAATCAAATAAAAAATTAAATATATTTTCATATTTTAAAAATTATTCAAATTGACTCTCAATAGAATAAATAGGTTGATTTAATATATACAAAAAAATAAGAGAATTTTTACGGTACTCATATTATTTGAGAGGGTACCGATACAGTTATAATTATAATTTTATTTTATATTTTATATTTTTAATAATTTATTTAAGTAATATTTATAATATTTTATTCTTTAAATTTTTAAATTATTTAGTCATTTTATTTTATTTTATATATTCTAATTTTATTTGTAATAATATTATTATATATTTAAATAGTTTAATTTTAATAAATTTTTAAGTATATTTTTTAATTTTAATAATTTTTTATTTCTACTATTTATTAATTCTTTTCTTTTTTAATGTTTTATAGCATTATTGAAATCTTATAATTTTAATCTCTATAATTTTATTTTACTTTTCATTTTATAAATATAATTTGGATTATTCATTTTATAATTAAATTAATTTTTTTTAATTTTTATAAGTTTACATAAAAGAATGTACTGAAACTCCTCCATCTTTAAAGGTACCGTAGCAACTCCCAAAAAATAATCAATGCAAAAAGAATCTTTAGCAGAATGGGCTACCTCTTAAGTGTTTTCATTATTAGTATTTTGCTATACTATATTAACATTATTTGAGATTTTTAGTGGAGAATTTTTTATCATATTAGTATTTGTTGAACTAGTTGTAACATCTTTTTTATGAATAGTAACAAATTTATGAAAAGCACCTTGTTGAGATTGAATTAATTTTTCAATTCTTTTTTTTTTTTTTCAACTTTTCAAAACCAGATACATACTTTCTATTTGACATATTTTACTGATTGGCTAAAATAAAATAATAAGAAAATTAATTTTTAAAATTAAAAGAAGATAACAATAAAACCTAAGTGAAAAATTATATCTGTGAATGAAAATTTATTTAAGCTATGGGTATGTACTGTCCCAGCTATGAGTATCCAAAATCGAAACCGTAGTGACAATCACCTTGCGTGTAGCTACAATGATAAACAATAAAAAAAAACGAGATCTAAAAATTGTAATTTGTAAATAAAAGTATTGCACTAAATTATTTTTTATCATGCATTAATAATTAATTTACAATGTTTTAGAAGGGTTTGATCCAGACTTTTCAAAGACACGCAGGAAATCATGGAAAGAAGAAATCTTGTCACGATGACAAACTTCAATTTCAATAAAGGAGAATATGTGGTACTGATTCCCAGGATGACCCATGACAAATTCACAATGCAATATCATGCAAGAAGTGCACTACAATGGATTGTTAATGGTGATAACTAAGAAAATGCGTTGATGTTATTGAACTAGCACCCAAAATTATACTAACTTAGTAGTTTAAAGGATCTTATAGAGTAGGAATCAACCAAGAAAAAAGGTAGAGTATGACCATATTGCTCCCAATCAAGCTCTCAAATTAGACGAGAAGAAGGAATTGAGCATGAAAATGGAGAGAATGAGAAAGAGATAGACTAGAGAGAAAACAAAGAGATTGAAAATTTGTCATCTGTAAAAGACAAAAGTAAGAGATAGACAGTTGAGTGTTGAATGACTTTTTATTTACAAAAACTAATAAATGGGTTGTGGTATTTTAAGTAATTTTAATAATAAGAAAATAAGAGATATAAAAAATGTAAGATATGTGTCTTATAAAATATTGAGCCTTATCTCAAATATTATTAATTTTTTTTTAAAATTAATTTATATCAATAATACTACTATTAAAAGAATTTGGAAGCCTTATAAATTTGGGGTCTCTAGGCATTATAACCTTAATTACCTTATTGAATGTTTGGCCCTAAGAATTATATAATACTACTTGGTTGACCTATGTGATGTATGGGTTTATTTGGATTTTTTTAAAAAGTGATCGGTAATTGTATGTTGAGACATTATATTTGAATCATTTTATATGTGATACATTTCATGTCAAAGATTAATGTTTGTTTGTATATATATATATATATATATATATATTTACAAAAAAA